CTCAGTTTTCTGTGAGATAATCCCGGTAATGGGCTATCTTATTGTTATCTGATGGATATTATAATTACCTAAGTACCCTTATTTACTTTAAATAGTTAGTTTATTTTGTAATGTTATTGATGTTTTCTTAAGTACTTTGTTTTGTTAAATTATTTCGTATATATATTGGATACCGAATTGTAAATAGTCACATTTGAAAAAGAAGTTGTACTTCGAAACATATGTCATGTCAGTGTTTTTTTTTTAAATTTTTTTAAAAATTGTCACACGTTAACAGATCCGAAAACGTAGTGAAACAAACATAAAATCATTTAAATCAGCTTAATTTGCGCAACGCACACAATAACGTCACAAAGTAGGGCGGGGCATACGAATGTTCCAATCATTGTTATAAAATAAAGAAGAGATGCTATGACGATACTAAAATTGTCCGCACAGTTTTACAAAATATGTCAAACTCGAAAATGGAGCTAGTCAGTTTTAGTGAGAATAAATAATTTTTTTTAAAATAGCATAATTTAAATGATAAAAAAATATTTTCATTCCGTCAAACTTTAAATATAAAATTATTAACGTCAAATTAATCAAAGTACGACTCAAAGGGCGTTCACTTTTCATAATACATATCACATTATTTTATCTTGACGTTTCCAATGAAGCTGTCAAACTCTAAAATTCACCACAAGACAATTTTAATTGTGTTTATTTAAAAATCGTGTTTAAATAAAACTACGAATTTAATAAAGCGGAAGTATGTGTCAATTCAAGGATTGTTAACGAAACACATCTCCAAGCTCCAGGTAAAATATTTACTATTATTTTTGAGGTTATGTTTATATTTTGTTTTATTCCAGTTGCTACAATATAGTCATGTGTTTTATACCCAACTTTAAAACAGAAAACTGCATAAATGGATACAATGTCATCGGTATTCTTTTATAGGAAAACCATCAAAATTAAGCGATGACTGAATTGCTTTAAGAAATGGGCTCTTATGGTAATAATATAAACTATCTAACTTTAAACAGATTTTAGAATGCAGTTGCCAGCCAAAAAAAATCATTGTACATTGTACCAGAAGGTATTTCAAACGTATGACAAATGTAAAATATATCTCAAAATGGTTCATTGAGGATATTGTGATTATTTCTCAGAGTACAGGGACCATTCATGTTTTAAATTAAAATGCTATACATTATAAGTACAACACATTTTACCATTTAGACGTCAGGTAAATTAGTTTAGGAAAAAGTTATAATTGAAAATCATTGGAGTCATTTAACGTAAAATGAAACATCAATAATTGAGTGCAGAATTCAAAGCTATATTGTATACAATATAGCTTTGAATTCCACTGAAGTTTTTTTCTGATTAGTCTTGTTTGGATTTTCCATTGTCTTACTGTGCCACAAACGGGGTCTCTTTCTAAGAACCATTCCCCTAAGCTTCAAGAATTTTTTATTCAATCAGAAAACCCAATACTAAGTATTATTTTTATGCGCAATCATATATGTTATAACTAAATTATATATTTCTATTCTTTTCCTTTTTCCTCTTTTTTCTTCGTATTCTTTTTCTTCTCGGGTTTTTCTGCCTTTTCAGGTGTAGCCATTTTTAGAATTTTTTGTCTCTTGTTGATCTTTCCATCTTATTTATTGTCTTTCCTTGTTCCATTCCTAATTCTTTAATTTTCTTCTTGGTCTTCCTCTTCATTTCTTAGATGGTTTTCATAATTCTGAAATTGTTTTTGTTATTCTGCCTGGCTTTATTCTTAAGAAGTGTCCATACCCCTTTAGTTGTTTTGTTTTTTTTATTATTGATTCTTATTTGTTATTTTTCTAATATCCTTATTTTTTTTACTACCTGATTTGGATTGCGTTATTCATTGCCATACCATTAATTTTTATTTATTGTTAGTATTGTTCGATATTTATATTGAGCTCCATTTTGGTATCTTTATGTCCCAGTATTGTTTCGTTTAACCTTCACCTGGCATGCTTATCCTGAGTAACATACCTGGACTCGTGAGGTACGTATGAACCCCAGTGATAAAAATCTTTTTCAAAATTAAAATATTGATAATTTTGCTTTAAAAAAATTCAGAGATCATCTTTAGATTCCACTTTAAACTGTAGAATAGTCCGAGTCGAAAAAAATAAATATTAGTGTTCATATAAAATCCGGAAATCTGGAAAACTTGAAAAAAATGCGTTTTTTACAAAAAAAAATCAAAACTTTTTTTTTTGATAAAAAGGGCTGAAATTTTAACTCTGTCTTCTTTTGTTACATCACTATAAAAGAATACTAATTGTTTACATGGGTCTTTAAGTATTTATTTTGAGAAATTACGGTATGGGTTGTACGAAAAAAATTAATTTGGAAATATAGTAAAATGTCGTAGTTTTTTATTTTTTAAACAAATATATTACAAAATAATCATTGAAAGAATTAAAGATAATAAAAAAAAAAAAACTTTATAACTAAATTAATGACCGGTACAATCGGGGCCCATCAAAATCCTATGGTTTACGCATATAGGGCTTTTGCAGGATGCACGTCCTTTATCTGTCTACTTGTCTTTCTTCCGATAACATAAGGAGCATCTTTGCTTAATTACAAGATTTAAATTTTCTACACGGCATTCAGACAAAACCGATCGATTTAAAGTTGTTCTTATTCTTACTTTTAAATCTCTGGGAAGCCTCAATTGAGTAAGACGACGGTCCAAATGCGGCCTAATTAAATGTAAATAATTTTTTCCAAACAATAATTTGCAGTTATGTCTTCTTGCTTTTGGACGGCTTTTGCACGTTCTCAAAATTCTCGCATTCACGATCGCCATGGCCAAGATGCCTTGAAAATATATACAGAGTGGCCCAAAAGTCTGGAAACGGCCAATTATCTCGTAAATTGCTAGTCGTAATTGTACAAAATTTGGGGTGCACCTATTTTGGGATACGAAGATTCCAGATTTGATATTTGCAATGTTGCTAGATTTTCCGTTTCTCTTATATTATTAGTCACTTTGGTTATTTGAAGTGATCACCCTGCATATTAAGTCACTATTGGAATCTCCTATTCAATACAAGTTCAACCATATGTACCACTTATGATTTTATAGAGTCTAGAAGGTCTTAAATAAATAAAACAGAAGTCTGGCAACGCCTAATTGTCTCATAAATTTTTTAATACAAACTATTTTCAACTACATTAAAACGTAACAATTAAAAGAGAACACAATTTTTAACACAATGGTTACTTTATCAAGTGTTCCAAATGTGCTTCATTTGTGAGTTGACAGTACCCTAATCGATGATAGAGTGCATTTATCACATTTCTCCATGATTGTTTTATTTATTTAAGACCTTCCAGACTACATAAAATCATAAGTATTGCATATGGTTGAACTCGTAATGAACAGGAGATTCTAATAATGACTTAATATACAGGGTGATCAATTTGAAAAACCAAAGTGACTAATAATATAAGAAAAACGAAAAATCTGGCAACAATGCAAATATCAAATCTGGAATATCCTTATCCCAAAATAGGTGTACCCCAAATTTTGTACAATTAGGACTAGCAATTCACGAGATAATTGGCCGTTTCCAGACTTTTGGGCCACTCCGTATATGGCTGCGGCCACCTGTACTCTTTTTACGCACACTAAAAGAGTGACACAACTCATCAAAAATGCGTCAATTTACGAAAAAACGATGTTGATGGCACAGTGGGGTACATACACACCCCAAACTGCTATTGATGACTGCTCCAAAAAAAACTAACGGTCGCAGCCCTATCCCTCTGTCCTAGGTATAAAAGTATATCCCTTGACTACCGATAGATGTCGTTACGAGTTTCGATTTCGAAGATTTAGATATCGAAAATCGACGAGAAAAAGCGTGGGGTATGTACTTACTCCAAGCGGCCTGGGGGGCTATTTTTAAACTCGAGAAAATTTATTTCTCTCAAGAGAAATGTCATACGTCAACGTATAACAGTATTTTTAGGGCCCTTAGGGCCAGTATGAACTCACTGACTGTTTTTTCTGGATTTATTTAGAGAGAATTAAAATTCTCCTAAGAATTTTAATCCTACAGGCCTTTAAAAACAGCGTTTCCACATTGACGTATAATATTTCTGATGAAATTGTTGAGAAAAATGAGTGCTCCCATACTTTGAAAATAGCCTCCCAAGTGAAGGGTAATGAATCGTATATGTTGATTGATTTGTTCGTCCTGTTTGTTAGTTTAGCTTCTTTTTTTTATCTTCCCAAATATTCATAGGCTGTTACTCTTTCCAGTATTATGTTCTTGCAATAAATTTTCTTTGTTTTTCTCATTATTGTATTATACTTCATAAGATTTATGTAAAGCAAACCGTGGACGTCCTCAATTACCCTTTCAAGAAAGCAGTATTGAAACTAAAAAAAAGGCGAATCGAAAACTTGGTCAAGAATTACACTATGGAGGAGCTATCTTTTACCACTCAACAAATCATCACGTTTGCGTTCTTCGGGATCAGAAGGTAAATCTAAGATTTTATCATCAGAACAGGCACTCGCGCTGTATTTAGATTTAAATTTAACAGAACGAAAATACAACCTTTTACGTTCTGTTGTAAATAACTTACACCCAAACTGTTTTCCTCGAATAGCTATCATTAGGGAGCATAAAAATCAGCTAATACCAAGCAATATCGATGTTACTGAGGGCGGTGCAGAAGTAAATCTACAAGAATTACTAAATATAACAGTAGAAAGTATATTAAAAACTGTCGAAGATTTTTCTTGTTTATCTGACGGTGCATCACTGGAATTTTTTTGCAAATACGGGTTAGATGGAAGTTTGGGCATAGCACTTACAAACAAACGTTTAAAAAACTCGAAATGGCCGATGAATATTTAATTCTAATAGCTTTATCACCCATTCAACTAATTAATAAAATAACTGGCAAAGTTATTTGGGCTAATCCCAGAACTTCATTAACTTTTTTTGCAGGCCAATTAAATTTATGTTCGCCAAAGAAACATTAAAATTAATTTTGGAGGAAGAACTTAAAATTGAAAGTAACATAAAAAATTTATCAGATTTTGAAATAGTATTCAAGGAAAAACGGCTTCGTGTTAATTACACTTTATTAATGACAATGTTAGATGGTAGTACCATTAATACTTTGCCAAGTACCAATGCGACACAAAAATGTTTTATCTGCAGAGCTTCCCCAAAGGAAATAAATTTAGAGTCAGTCACTAAAAAAAATGTTAAAGTTGAGAACTTCAATTTTGGATTGTCCTCAATGCATTCATAGATTCGTTGCTTTGAGTGTTTGTTACACATATCTTATCGACTACCATTAATAATTTGGCAGGTTAGAGGATCTGAAAACAAAAAAATCTACGGAGATCGTAAAAAATATAATCAGGCTAAGTTCAAAACCAAGATGGGGTTGGTAGTCGATAAACCAAAACCGGGTTACGGATCCACGAATGACGGTAATACAGCAAGAAGATTTTTTAATAACGCTAATCTTAGTTCCGCAATAACAGGTGTCGACAAAGAGCTAATATTAAAATTTTCCATTATTTTACGAACAAATTGCTAGCGGTAAGAAAATTAATTTAATCCAATTTGACCGGTTACTTCTTGAGACTAGATTACTTTGCTTACAAATTTTATAATTGATACTATATGCCTATATGCTATTAGTTGACGGAAAAAATATCATTCAGTATTTTGACCTTCCGATTGGCCAGTTAGCTGAAGACGCCTTAGAGGCTAGACACAAAGAAATACGTAAATTTCGATTGTTTTATTTAAGAAAATCTTCAAGAGTTAACAAAAACACAGATATAATGAACTGGTGTGAAGTTAGCAGACCAAACTTGACAGCCAAAATGGAACCCGAATGAACAGTGGCGTCGGTTCCAGGTTAATAAATTTAATTAAATAAATTATGCGGTAATTATTAAACCAAAAGTAGAAGTAAGAACATTTAAAAAAAATATAAATCATAAAATAGATATTAAGTCAGATTTAAGAATATTTGTATTCAAGAGAAATGAAAAATTGGTCTTTTTAATATTTTGATATATCGCAACCAACAAAGAATCTTAAATAAGTCCAAAACAAGACATACTATTAAGTTGATATTTTAACACAATTTAATATATTTATAAGCCTCACTAAAACAAGTTACTGTCAATGTTTCGCAAGCCGTCAAAAAGTGTGAAAAAATGAAAAGAATATAAAAAAAAACCTGTGAAAATAAAACGTCTGCCAACAAACTATCTACAGAAACTCCATAACTAGACATACTATCAAGTTCATACCTTGAAAAGAATAAGCCTATACATATCCATATGTAACAGTAGTACTGTGAATTCATCGCAAGCCGTCACAGAGTAGGAAAAAATTAAATCAAATATATAAAAACTCTAAAAATAAATAGTCTGCTAACAAATTATCTACAATAGCTCCATAATTAGACATACTATCAAGTTCATATTTTAAACAGAATAATCCCTGACATACTTATATATAATAGTGGTACTGTCAATTTATCGCAAGCCGTCAAAGGGTGGGAAAAAATTAATATAATATAAAAAAACTCTAAACATAAATAGTCTGCTAACAAATTATCTACAATACCTCCATAACTAGACGTACTATCAAGTTCATATTTTAAACAGAATAAGTCTTGACATATCTATATATAATAGTGGTACTGTCATTTTATCGCAAGCCGTCAAAGAGTGAGAAAAAATCAAAAGAACATAAAAAAAACTCTAAAAATAAATAGTCTGCTAATAAATTATCTACAATAGCTCCATAACTAGACATACTATCAAGTTCATATTTTAAACACAATAAGTCTTGACATATCTATATATAATAATGGTACTGTCAATTTATCGCAAGCCGTTAAAGAGTTAGAAAAAATTAAAAGAATATAAAAAAACTCTAAACATAAATAGTCTGCTAACAAATTATCTACAATACCTCCATAACTAGACATACTATCAAGTTCATATTTTAAACAGAATAAGTCTTGACATACCTATATATAATAGTGGTACTGTCATTTTATCGCAAGCCGTCAAAGAGTGAGAAAAAATAAAAAGAACATAAAAAAACTCTAAAAATAAATATTCTGCTAACAAATTATACAAATATTCTTAAATCTGACTTAATATCTCTTTTATGGTTTATATATTTTTAAAATGTTCTTACTTCTTGTTTATTTAATAATTACCGCAATATTTATTCAATAAAATGTATTAACCTGGAACCGACGCCACTGTTCACTCGGGTTCCTTCGCCATTTTGGCTGCCAAGTTTGGTCTGCTAACTTCACACCAGTATATAATGACCTCATTACTAATAACTTCTGACCCATTTGTATCATCTTTAAGAAAAAATATATCCAGACACAACGAAAATCTCAGTGGTATCAACGAATACATAATCGATTCGCCTGTAATGAATGATAACAACTTAGATTTATTTATGATCCTAATAGACATAAGCGGTGGCAAAAATTAATCTTCAGATAGCGATAGTGAATAAACTTTTATATAGTTTCTTTTAATTTATCAATGTTTCCTAGTTCTATTTCTTTATAATATGTTATGTATTATTATTAAATTTAAATAAATATAAATAAAAAGTAGATATTTTCAGATGACTAGATGACTAATCTTTAAAAATATATGTATGTACAAATACCAAATTATAAGTATTTAATTTCCTAAAAAAATATTTATTTGGGACACCTTGTATGTCTGGTACCATATTTTTTTTTTTCATTTGCACATTAATAATAGTCTGTCATATAGATATATTCCAATTTTTTTCCAAAACTATTGGTGGTTTAGGACTGAGGATTTTTGCCCAGGTAGATCTATACCGCGACGCACTTGCGTCGCGCCGCCAGACCCTACTTCTTTATTACTAATATGATTATAACATTTAGATATAAAATAGATATTCTAAAATAAAAACTCAAAGATCAGGAAACGTAAAAGTCTCTGAATCACTATATTCACTTAATGAGTCATTATTTACTGATATTATTAAAGATGGCACTGTAGTATCGACATCCAAGATTTTGTCCAGATTCCCTATGTATTTCTTCTTCTAATTAACACATGCTCGATTGCCTTTTACTAATTTTCCTTTGTAATAAGTGAGGTTTCTAACAATGCTTCTACATCTTTTAACTTAAATGTCGTATTATGTCGACCTATATATCCTTTAACTTGTGCCCATATCAGTTCAAAAGGATTTGGTTTGTAGTGATAGGGAGGAAGACGCACAACATCAATACCATGTGTTTTCGCAAATTCATCCATTACATAACTTACTTGAGGGTTATTTAATTTCATGATTTATAATAGTTCTATTTTTATTGATTTTTCTGGCAAGCTAATGTTTCTGTCTGTTAGCCACTTAATCTTTCTTCCATGAAGTATTTGGCGTTATCCATTACAATAACTAAACCCTTTGGTAAATGTTCTGTCATCTGCTGAAAATATTCTTCAGAAACATCAGCGTTCATATCTTCATAGTAATCTCCGGTTTTTTAGATTAAAATATTAAAGAACCACGTTTTGAAAATCCGTCATCACTTCCAATATGAGTTATAATTAGACGTCGTTCTTTACCGGAAAGAACCTTCCATTCTGTAGATAATCCTTTCTAAGAAGCTTGTCGTGAAGATTGAATGTTTGTGTCCTGCCACATTTTGCTAACTGTGTAACCTTTATTCGCCCAGGTTTCGTCAAAATAAAATATTTTTTGCCTTCTGCACGTAATTTAAAAATGGTTCTGAGGTATCTTCGTCTTCAACAAACAATTTTATCACAATCAATAAGTGCTGCTACCCTGTGTTGTTTATTTCACTTAAACTTCAAATCTATTAGAGTTTCCCATAGTTTTGTCTTTCTCATTTTAGGAAAATACGGATCACTATTGATTGCGACCAAAACCTTGACAAGTGTTAGTATCTCTTTTTTAAAATAAAACTCGTGAACTTTTCTTCTTATTCCGCTTTTAATTTGTTTAATAAATTCTACTTTTTTTTACCTACTGCATTTTTTTTTGGAGGTTTAACACCTACACTTTTTATTTCACTTATATTACTTGTCTTTTCAACAGTATCGTCAACATAAAACGAAGGATTTTGCATTCTTACAAATATTGTCTCGTTAACTGACAAGGCAAATTTTTTATACGTTTCACAGGTGTAAACTTTGAACTTGAACCACACTGCATTTTTCACTACTATTTCTTTTTTTTTATTTAAAATTTATGGCCTTGGCATTGTCAATTGGCCAGACTAATTTTCACTACTACAATCACTATTAATAATAGAAACTGATCAAGATACTAACTGCAACTGCCTATCTTCATACCAAATCCTAGGTAGGTAACCATCTTATAATCCCACCCCTTGTTATTATTTTGGTTTTTCTATGGCATTAGTAATCTCCAAGAAGATGATTAAATAACGAATAACCCTTAAATTATAGATTTCTATAATCTAACGATTTATTTCATTTACATTTTTAATACAACTAGAGTCAGATTTATACATTTTGAACACTCAGGTTACTTTTTATATTCTAAGCTGAAACCTTTCTCTCCATTTGTCATTAACTTTCACTTTGACTTCAATGGTGAATAACGATTTAAACAATTTAATGTAGGTATACCTAATAGTCAAATTTATAGGTCTTGAAAAATATTTGTTATATATCTTGTTGCTAATTTGCTCAAACAGATACCTCTACCATTTACATAACAATTGAAGCGTTTATTTGAAAAACAACACATGTCCAAAAATAAACTTTTTGGGAAATCAAGAAAGACTGCTTACCTTCTTACAGTTTAAGTATGCATTTTTGTAACGATGCTTCTTGAAAATAATGTTTAAGCCAGAAGCATATTCTAATATTTATTTTGGTTGAAAATACGAAACATACGAAAAATTTGAAACAGTTTGTGAATTTTGGAAAAGTAACACATGTCCTTTTTTTATTCTCCACCGCTGCTGTTATCGTCACTAATGATTTTAATATCTGAAGATTTTTCCCTCCATCTATTTGTGGGTTCAGGTTAAGGTAAAATTCTTTATTAAGAGGATTCTTAAGATATTTAGTGAGTTCCATTAAGTCTCGAAACTTCACATTGTTTATTTGAGGTTGCCGTTTGTTTGGTATTAGAGGTATTTCTTGTGAGTTTATTTTCCCTGCAATGGTATGAAACGTCCAAGGACCATAATAACTTTGACGTACTAGAACCTGACCC